CTAGGAAACAATAGTGCTGCAAAAACCTTGAGAGAAGATAATACCAAGGAGTGGAGGATGATCAACAGCATCAAAGACTACAGAGAGCTCAAGAAGGATGAGGATTGAGAAAAGGCCATTAGATTGTGCAATTAAGAGATCGTTGCTAACTTAGGAGAGAGCATTTCAGTTCACTCAGCCTCCAAGTCATGCACACCTCAACAAAATGGGTCACAGACTCATACAAGTTTGTAAAACCATAAGAATCACCATAATGCCTCTGACTCAATGTTCCATCCAACCTAGCATTATTTTGCAAATAATAAAACATACCATGAAAGAATAAGAGTATTGCACTCAAATGTCAACCTATATATTTCATCAGAAAACTTTCATGTGTTCCTTGTGGAAAATAAGCTAAAAATATACAATGAATCTAAAATCCTTTACCATTTTTCAGTTTCATCTGTGAAAATGAGTTGAGCTTTCTTCACATAGGCAGTCAAGCAGGTAAGAATTGCCTAAGACACATGATGGTCTGTAGGGATCAGTTATATGCAAGCTTTTCCTAGTATCCAATATTGTTATGTCACTCATAAATTGCTCTAAATCCTTTTTGCAGCCATTTATATTTCTTGCCACTACCATCTCTTGGGATTATGTGTTCTGTGAGTTTCTTACAAACTGTAGGAAGTTGTATTTTTTTTGGTTTCTCCTCTATTTTGCTCACTCAAATTTCAATCGTCTTACTATTATACAATTTAGAGAATATAACCACCATTTAAAAATTCTCATTCTAGTCTTTGTTTAATCATCTTTCCAGGCCAAAATGTCTTGATTTTTAAAATAGATCTGCAAACAGAAGTCATTGGGATCATTTTAGTGACCTTTCTCTGGATCTTTTCTAGTCCCATTATAACTTTCTCAATGTTCTGTGACCAGAACTGCATGTAGAATTCCAGGTATAAAAGTGCTAGAGATAGGATAACATTTCAGTGCAGTCTTCTGGGCAGATTTCCATTATTCTCTTGGTTCTTCAAGATATGCACATGATAGGCTGATCCACATGGAACAATATGTATCGATTCTAGACTGTAAACAATGGCTTGGATCTCTTCTTTCCATCTATGTATCTATCTATATTGACACACACATATAATATATGTATATATATAAACTTGGGTTGTAACATGGTTTGCATCTAGGTCATATCCCTTAACACAAGTATTATAAATAAAAATACATTATTAAATTGTTGAATAAGGGGGTTTGATAATATTTCATCAGTCATTTTGATTCATTTCAGGAATTTTCAGGTATTCATCCCTTCTGCTAATCTATAACAGATGAGAAAGTATTTTATTTTCTAAGCAATGAGGAGCCATAGAGAGTTTTTGAATGGTGAAGTGAAATGTATGAAGGAATACTTTAATAAGATTAATCTAACATCAGTATATAGTTTGGATTGATGGAGGTGAAACTGGAAGGGAGTTTTGTTTGAAGGTTAGTTCATGGTCTAATTGTGAGGCAACAAGGAACATCACACAATCCAAACAGTTCTTAACTGCATTTTATGTATGTATTTATGTATGTGTGTGTATTACCTGTTTTTAAAGACAAAACCATAAATAGTAATAAACTCTTAAAATATTTTTCATTTGCTTAGCTTCTTTCTAACAAAGAATTTTACTCAAAAATCAAAGATTCGGAATCAGAAGAAAATTTTGATTGTTATCTATTTCAACTCTCTAATTTTACACATGAGGAAACTGAGGAACATAAAGGGTAATGGATTTGTCCAAGGTCACATGTTAGTATGTAGCGGAGGCAGAATTTGAATCCAACCTCCAAAATCAATACCCTTTTCCTGCATCAAAAGGGTTCTTAATAAAATCTGAAGCAAAATGATGCTACTGACCCAGTAAAGCATAAGCCTATGAATTATTTTTCCAGTAGCTGTGACAGATTTGGACTGAACCAACCAGATTTTAAGTCCCCTTCTACACACACACACACACACACACACACACACACACACACATACCCCTTGAAACTAAGAGCACACATTTGCAAGGCAGCTAGCCAGAGGTTTACAAAAATCAATAAATGCAGCAGTGTGTATTTTGAAGGAATTCAAGGATGAAACAAGGATTAAAACTGCTGTCTAAAATACCTAGTCTCTTTTTATTCAAAGTCAACATTGTGTTCAACTGGTGGATTGCAAATGTGTCCTTTATTCATACGAAAATCTTCAAAAGAAAACTAGGATAGTATACAAATTTGTAAGTATTACTTCCTTACTGAGAAAGATGGTTTAGATAATAACAAAGGACATAATCACTAAGTTAATAATAAAAAAGAACTCACTGACAAAAAGACAACATAGTTTCTGCAAGAGCAAACCATGTTTAACCAATTGGTTAGAGTTCTCTTGGGAAGCAGATAAGTACATAGTTAAAAGGGAAATAGTGGGTGCCATCTATTAGACTTTCAAAAGCTTTTAACAAGGTACAACATGGTTGAGAGTGAGAGGAATAGAGAGTGTCTTTTGTTATGAATAAATAACTGGCTTAAAGATAAGAGGAAAAAAGCAAAAATACGTAACAGTAATAATAGCACATTTTGTAGCATTTTAAGATTTATAAAGCAATTTTGTCACAATAATCCTATAAAGATCGTAGCGCTGCTGTTAATCCTCTTTTTACAGATGAGTTAATTAAAGCTCAAAGAGGTGAGCTTGTCCATAGAACTTATTTTATTGGAAGTGTAAAGAATGATTTTTTAAAAAAATTTTCTAAGACCTTTGGTGCAGACAATTCAATGAAGTCACCATGTTTGCAGATGACATGTGTACATATTTCTTTAGTGGAAATCAAAAAAAAAATCACAGTGACTACGGGAAGAACTTATGAACCTAAAAGAATGGGCAAAAAAAAGTGGCAGGTGAGTTTTGAGGTAGTAAAATTTTTGGCAATACCTTTAAGAATAAATACTCCAAATATAAAAATATGTGTGTGTGCACATGTGTGAACTTACACATGTATGTGTATATGTGTATACACACACAAGGTATACATACACAAGTATATATATATATATATATATATATATATATATATATATATAAACTACTATTTTACATAGATATAGGATAACATTTCCTGTTTTATTTTCAATACACTCTTTGGGGGACAAATGTCTACTATTCTCTTGGTCCTTTTAAGTACAGTACTATAATGAGCTGATTCACCTGGAACACTATGTATATATGTGTAGGTATATGTGTACCTGTTCTGTTGTGTTGCAGTCAACATAATTTGATTCCCTCATATATCCATATCCATAAGCTATACTGCCACAATGTTCAATCGCAAACCCATATTTTTCCTTGTCATTTAGGAATGATACAATTTATACTGGTAACAGCTTACCATTTCATTATTCAAAATTACTTACTAAATATTTCAATTACATGTTCCACATATACACATAAAGTTTGCTACTGCCCATCAAATTTGATTTTACTTAAATATTTAGTTGTCTACCAAAGTGACCAATGTCCTCCTTTAATAGCAAGTGACTTTTTCTTTACGTTTTATTACTGTACATACACACCATTCTATAGTTTTTTCTCCCTAAAATATTTCTATTCGTATATAGTGGTACACTTTTTATTTAGCAAAAGATTATAAAAGTTTTCCTTCTGCTTCAGGGACCAATTAATTCCATTAAATTACATCTAGTTACATACCAAACTGAACCACTGCAGGATCAGGGCTGTCTAGAGCTTTGACAGTTGGAAGGGGGTTGGCAGGGAGGGGGAGAGACAGAGAGATTGATTTTATGTGGCACTAGAAAACATTACGAAATCATGTCAGAGAGTGTCTTTCAAAATCGTCTTAAGATGTTCTAGATTAAGGGAGTTTCCCTTCTCATGAGTGGGAGTTGACAGACAGTCTGCCAGCATTAGAAAGATGCAGAGAAAAATTGGTATCTATATTGTGTCCTCTAATAACACTTTTCTCTGTATGTCATCTTCCTTATGGAAGATCAAGGAGGTGCTGTGTGTGAGTGTGTGTGTGTGTGTGTGTGTGTGTGTGTGTGTGTGTGTGTGTGTGTGTGAGAGAGAGAGAGAGAGAGAGAGAGAGAGAGAGAGAGAGAGAGAGAGAGAGAGAGAGAGAGACTGTGTGCAAGCTTTGCCCCCTTGTGAAGTAGAAATCATTGCATCTCACTTACAGCTGGAAAAACTGGAGGACACTAACCCTCCCAAGGTCATCCTGTGATCCTCGGATCTAGCAAATCAGTGGCAAGGCCTAGAATAAAAGGAACCTAGGGACATTGACTTCCAGGTCCTAGTCTTAAGCACTAAACATTTCCTCTCCTTTTTAAGATTTTCTTTCTTTCTTTTTTTTTTAATCACTGGAGGGGAAAAAAAAAGTATAAGAAAAATCTATTTCCATTAAAGGACGAAATAAAACTAATGAAAGCGTTCAAGGTATCCACTCTACAATTCGTAATCTATGTCCAAAAAATGAGAGGAGGGAATCTCCTTTTTGACACAAAGAAACGGGTTTTTTGCCCGGAGCTTCTAGGCTCATTCTCCTTTCCCCGCCCCCCCCCGCCCCTTTGTAGGTAAGGACTGATTAAAAATAAAAAACAAAACAAAAACTAAAGCCCACACCTCAAGCCCATTCTGGGCTTGGACAGTGACTAAGTCCCGCCCCTTACCCTTCCCCCACACGTCTGCACTCACCAGTCCTGCTCCCCCACTCTCCTCCCCCCCCACCCCAGATGCTGCCTGGCACCGAGCGCAGCGCAGCTGCCGCCGCCGCCGCCGCCGCCGCCGCAGCCCCAGCAGCAGCAGCAGCCGCCGCCGCAGCAGCCCTAGCAGCCGCCGCAGCACTTTACACTTTAGTCGATCGCTTTTCCAGTCCTGCTCCAGTGCAGTCCGCCTGGAGTGGAAAGTGGCCAGTGCTCCTTGCTCTGGCCTCCAAGCAATCCGAGGAGACTAGGGAGGAAACTCCTTGGGAGAGTCCGGTCCCAGGTGCCCTCTCGGTTCTGCAGTCTCTTCTCTCTTTGCTTGGGTGGGGAAGGAGGACGAAGAGGAGGTTTGGTCTGGGATTAGAAGGAGGTGGAGCAGAGGCAGCGGTGGCGGCAGCAGCAGCAACAGCAGCAGCAGCCGCGCCAGGAACGGAGAGAGACAGGAGAGACCTAGACTTGGAAACCCCAAAGTGTCCCCGTCCCTGCACCGCAGGATACATTTCCAGCTTCATGGGCAAAGTGTGGAAACAACAGATGTACCCTCAGTACACCACCTACTACTACCCCCAGTATCTCCAGGCGAAGGTAAATGGGAAAGGGGTGGGGAGTTGGGCGGGTGCCAAGGGCAGGGTGGGGATGGGGTCTTGGCTCAGATGGGAGTGGGTAGCTTCCTGGGGATCTGGTGTCTTAGGGTGGGGTGGCGGGAGCGGGGGCGGGGGGCCAGAGGAGGCGCGGAGCGCACTGCGCGCTCTACTGTTCTGCTGCTGTAGTTGACTGGATGTTGCTAACTATAGCCCTGGCTGGGATTGAGCGCGTAGGGCTTCTCAGTGAAGAGTGCAAAGATCGGGTTTCTGAAAGTAATTGGGAGAGGGAGAAACCAGACAGGAAAAAGCCAGCAGTCCCTTCCTTCCTCTGAGGAGAGGAGGGGTTATACGAAAAGCTGGGAGCTCCCTCCGTTCTGAGCTAGGTGGGCCTTTGCTGCCCAGGACCTTACCCTCGTTTCGGTTTCTCCCACCACCCCCACTCTTCTGGGCTTTCACCTATGGAGAACTAGCTTTTCTCCTCCTCCTGAGTCATGCGCCACCCCCACTCCTGAACTGCCCCCTTCCTCAATCACTTTTGGCAGGTCGGTTTAGAACTGTGCCTTTCTCTCTTCTGCCTCCTCTCTTACCTTCTCACTCTCCCCCTCTCACCTCTGATCTTTGCGTGGTTATGGCACATCACCTGGTTACTGATTTCTACTTTTATGTTCGAGTTTTGGGTAGAGAGTGGCCAAAGTTTATTCAATACTCATTGATGCCTCCCCCCACATGTGCCCAGTAACTATTGCAAAGGAGGGGGGTGATAGACACATTTCTATTCAGGGAAATAATTTTACCATTTAGAATTTTGTGGCGTTAAAACATTTTTGCCAGCATTCTTTGTTGAAGGTTAAACAATTTTCGATGTTTATTTGAAGTGGTCTTTGACAAGAGATAACTGCTGATGTTCTTTAGCTATAAAAATTTCATTTTCTAGGGACCATGGGAGATTTTGCTCTTTGGCATATCTTGGTTTTAATTTCTGTGAGAAGTTGAATTCTCTCTGCTCATTTAAAGTAATTGTATTTGGTCCAAAAATAATGTTGGCCTCAGACCTTTAGCAGCATCATTGTGCAGAGGGCAAATGCAAAGGGGGTGCACGAAGGGTCTTGAGCATCTCTTTTCACAATTCATAACAGAACAAATATGAATCAAGGTATGTGTACAGTGTGTGAACTTTAATTTGGGGGTTATACTTAGGCTCTGGCCAGTGAAAGAACATACTTTTGGCCCATAAAGAAGAGGACCTCCCTGGCCAGTTTGATAAGCTTCCTCTCATTGTAGGTGTGGTCCATGGTAACAAGGAACTATAGCACGTAGTATTTCTGATCATGTCAAACTATAACTGTGTAAAGTGAAGAAACAGAGAATTACTTGCTCTCCTACCCTGCCACCGCCACCCAAAACAAAAGTCCATCTTAGCCCCGGTAGTCAGAAAGCATCAAGATGGCAGCAGTTTTACTATCTATCATTAATTTTCCCTCAAATTTACACTCATATGTTTTCAGGGATTTGAGATGCTAATATGAGTGACAGAGGCATTGTAAATATGAGTTGTTTAAAGAAATATTGTAAAGTAATCAATGCACTGCCTTTTAGATATCATATATGTTTAATGCACCTGTTTAAATTATGCAGCATAAGGTGCCTGAAGGATAGTCTTTTGTACTATTCCACACTTAATTGTATGAATAATAAATAAATACACTCAGGTGAAGAAAGGGGGGAAACACTTTTCTACAGGAACATTTACCTTGGTGATTTTTATGTACCATTAGTAAGTTGGAAACCAAGTACATAACATTTAATATAGCTAATGCGATGCCACTTGGCTTTTTTGCTCTGTAAATAATTGAAGAGGGAGGCAAACTGTAAGAGCCTGCTCTGGTAATTAGGGTTGGATCCACAGAAAGCTTTAAGGGCCATTTTCTGAAAGTGTGCTTCCTGCATAAAGCATTTAATATTGATTTGTGTTACAGTAAATGACATTTTCAAAAACATATCTTGCTGTTTCTGCTAAGAAGACTGAAATCCCATTACTCTGTATCTCTTTTGTTTTAGCAGAGTGGCACACATGCCCACTTGACCTATTTATAATATGATATTAAAATGTAGGAGTTTAAATCCAAATTTTCTATTATAATAACAACCTAATTGTACTTAAGGGAGGGAGCTCTCTTTAAAAAAAAACATGTACAAGGACTAGAGGCAATTTAGGTGACCGAAGTCTGGATGACATAAGCAAATTTGGCTCCAAACATTTGGCCAGAAGGTGTGAAAGAAATAGTATTGTAAAAACAAAATCTTATTTTGGCCTATAATTAGCTTAAAAGCAAAATGATACTTGATCTAAAAGTTAACATATTTAAGGGGTCTATGGTCTATGCACAATAACAATCACATCTGTGTTTTTTCACCTTCCTGAAATGCAGGGCTGAAAACATCTCTCTGTTTAAAGTACAATGAAATGTTTGCAAATCAGAGTTGTTTTGAAACTTCTGTTTGAAACTACATCAAAAACAGCAATAAGTTGTTTATAAGTTATGTTTGTTAATAAGTTATGCTTAACTTAAACTTGTGCTTAAGAAATGGATGTGATTCTCTTGAAACTGAAAGGGGTTAAAAAGAATAGGAATCCTAAGTGTCTACTTAGCACCTGATAATAAGTTTCCTTAATACACATATACATACATATATATAATGTGTGTGTAATATTTTTAGCTGAAGCCAGAGATGTTCATTTCTTTACTGTGCCTTAAAACAGGAGTAACACACACACACACACACACACACACACACACACACACACACACACTCGTTTCATCCTTGCTTTCAATTCTTGTGCTGGAAAAGAAATTAGTAAAAATCAGAAAGGTGTTCGAACAACTATACTATGTGGTTACAGAGCTCAATATAAACACATTCTTTTATCCTCATTAACAGCATTATGTTTTACAGTTGTGATGCACTTCAAACTGAAATTTATCATGTTGAAAAAATTTAATGCTAATCAGCACTGATATGCACTGCAAGAGTATACATCATTTTCAAATGAAGTGTTAAGTATGCAAAGTGAGTTCTTTCTGAACCTAAGTTCAGAAATAGAACAATAGTAAATTACTGTTAGTTGTGATAAATATAGAATCACATTAATAAAGGGTAATAGGGTAAAACAATTTTTCTAAAGTCAATTTGCATATCTGAGATAAAAGCTTTGCAGTAATAGTTTATAGTATTCCTTGGCTCTAACTTACCATTAGTCAAATGAATATTATATGAAATGTGAAATTAAGCATTTCTCTAGGAACTAGGAGTAAAGGTTTAATGCATAAAAAGACTTTCAAATTAATAGTATAGACAAATGGTGGAATACAATATTTTTAGGAAAATGCAACTTTGTATCTTATGAAATAGGTTGCACTAAAATGTATATGAGAGAATTGAATAAAATCAATCAAGGTAAAGTAATGAGAATTTTATATTGATGGTTTTTTTCATAAAAGCAATGAGCTATTATGGCAACCTCGAAGAATTGAAGGGGACTGAAGACAATAGGTACCTTTTTGTAAAGTTCCATTTTAATACTAAATTGTATTATATTAGTAATACTTATACTTAGAATTCTTCAAATATCTTTTAGCTAACCTAATTTCTGAACAAAAGCAAAAAGGAGAGGCAAGAGGAATGAAGGAAAATGGGGAATCACACTCACGTTACCATGTTGCTTTAGTAGTTTTTTTTTAATTGACGTAGCTATGTTTTTCCCATGTTTGGCAAGTTCAGATACTATTGCCTTAAATTTAAATACAATGACTCAACATATCAGACAATAATGTGCAATTACATGCAACAGTGGTTTGTTGTTGTTGTTGTTTTTCCAAATCAAAGCATTTAGTCACTGATGTACTGATCTGACTCTGGATAATGTGTAAAGATCTATCATAACTTGAAAGTTACAATTTATTTAATAGGCTACTTTAGAACTTTGTTATGCTAGATGAAGTATTTTTTTTGTGTGCTGAAGTCAGGGGTATTAATTTTCTTAACTACTTCTTAGAACAAGAGTAAATCTATGTTTTCGTATAACTTCATAATCACTAAATTAATCCAAGTCAAGTATGAAAGTAATCAAAGTGAAAATTTGTATTATAATAAAAGTTGAATTAGTGAATCTTTTCAATTAGTTTCTTAATAAACCTGAAGAGTTTCCTATATCATTCTTACATCAAAACACTGTCTTATATGAGGTTCTTAGCAAATTTGTCCTCTCTATCTCTGACCGCAGTCCTAACATTCTTGTTGCAGACCTTTCTTCCATAGATACAGGTACCTAGGTCAGTGCTCTTTTCTGAGAAGGGTAGGATGAAACAAATATTTATGAGCAATCTACTATGAACTAACCCAATAATGGATAGAAATATTTTTTTTCAGTCTTTAAGTCCAAAAATTCATTCTGATGACCTAAAGGACATCTGATCTCAAAGTTCTGAAGGTAAAAGGAAAATGAAAGTTATGCACTACTTGGTTTGATATTATAAGGAAAACATATTAGGGACCCTCAGGATGTTTGTTATGAGAGGATTGGTAAATGCTTCATTTATGGCATGAAAAAGGACCCTTTGTACAATGTTTTTGAGGATGATGAGTAACAGAGAAAAATTTGTAGTATTAATGTATTGGGTAGGGAAAGATTGCCAAGCATGATGAACTGGTGACAAATTCTTTTTGTCAAAACCTCCAAAGTAAAACCTTCCATTTTCCTAATTTTTGTGTAAACCCTATGGACCACTTTCCGTGTCATCGATATTTATTGGAAGAATTTTTTAAGGGAGGCAATATTAAGTAAGGAGTTGGGATTGAGGAGGTTTGTGTTCTAATTCGGTCTGTGTCTATGACTGGTGCATGTCCTCAGACAAGTCCCTTGAATTATCTGTTTTGTGAAATGGTGGAAAAACCTATAGCTATTCTGCAGTGATGCTGAATGTACAAAAGAGAACTTGAGCT